CTCGCGCGCGCGCGCCGCCGCGAGGCGTCGACGAAGACGACGACGACGACGACGACGACGACGACGACGAGGACGACGACGGCGGCGACGACCGACGACGACGGCGACGAGGGCGACGGCGACGCCGACGGCGACGACGGCGACCACGACCACGACCACGACCACGACCACGACCACGACCACGACCACGACCACGACCACGACCACGACCACGACCACGACCACGACCACGGCGACAAAACAACGACGACGCAGAGGACGAGCGAGGGAGGGGGGGTACCGCAGGTTTGCGTCGTGTCGACCCAGGCGATGTTTTTTGACACCGCCGGAATCGTTCAACCTTGAACGATCCGCCGTTTCCGAAACGCCACATAGTTGAACATCGAGCGATTCTGGGTCGCCGTCGGCGTTCAACGTTGAACTCCGGCGGCGGGGTCGCCGCTGGTCGACACGACACGAACCTGCCGTACGGGCCAGAGAGCAGCGCTGTCCCGCCTGCTCCTGGGGGCAGCCCCACGCCGCGGCCCAGGCGTGAGCCTCTGCGCCTAACTACCTGCACGGCGCCTCCCCGCTGCTCGCCGCGCGGCTCTCCGTGGCCGCCCTCCGTGAGAGGGGGACGACCTCGCCATCGCTCGGACGTCCATTCCCCGTGCTTTTGTTCGATTGCGTGCGTGGCTTTTTCGGCAAATGGTCCAGGACGCTCCTCGATGGTCCTCGCCGAGGAAAAAACGCACACGTCCGAGCGATGCCAGGCGATAGGGGGGGACTGGCTCAGGGGGGAAACCTCGACCTGGAATCGATCGGCGATACAGTCGGGGCGTTGACCTAAGGAACCCTAAATAAGGAACGAGGCCCCTTTTTCCCATAGGTTCAACCTCGATTTCCCATGGAAAACCTCAGGAAAACCCGAGGCAAACTTTGGAACAATCAAGGAACACCGAGCCCCTCCCCAACGAAAAGGGTTCCTTCTTCAGGGCCCCGACTGTAGCGGATCCGCACGCTCCTTGGCGGGGTGGGCTATCGGGCCCCCCTATCGGAGATCCATGTGGGCAATCGGGGGTCGATGCGTCCCCACCTGGAGCCCATCCCCCCACCAACGCTGCCCTCGACTCCAGCGCTTGGGACCCGGACATCCGGCCGCTCCCATTCGTGGCAAGCGTGGGCCCCGGAACCCTGGACCGCTTCCCCCGGGGCCGGCTTCTCGTCCTGGGCCGTTTTTGCGCGCTCCCGAGGGGCCCAAGCGCAGGCCCCGGGAGGCCGAAAGCTGCCAGGACCCCGCCGCTCCAACTTTTGGAAGAGCGTCGGATCCCTGGGGAGGCATCCTGGCGCCTCTCGGGCCTGAGCCCCACGTCTTGAGCAGGGACCGACCGCCCCAGCACTCCTGTAGGCCTACCACGACATGTTCTTAGAACCCCAAACTGCTCTCAGAACCAAAACAGCGCTCTCAGAACATCAGCCCGATGCGCCAAACCAAGACAGCCCCAGCCAGAAATGCTCTAAGAACACTTCGTTCGGGAGCGGCCAAGAGGGGGGTGTCCAAGAGGGGGGGGTGCAAATCATGACCGGCGGCATGTGCGCGGCCCAGCGGGGGGGCCAGGGACGTAATGAAATAAGAAGGGGCGCCATGAAATCTGGGGAGATATCATGGCCCACGCCATGATATCCACCCCCCCTAGTCATCACCCCCCTCTTTCCCGCCCCCGAGAAATGCTCTAAGAACACCTCGTGGGAGCCGCAAAAAGGCTCTCAGACCACTGCCTGGCCTGGCCCACCCAGGGCCCAGGAGCGGTGCATACGCCCTCCTGGCTTGGCCAGGGAGGCATATAAACCGCTCCTGGGCTCAGGATGGGCCTGGCCAGGAGCAGTGGAGATGTCTAAATCTCGTCGCCCTATCGTGGGAGCCGCACGAGGCTCTCAGACCACTGCCCGGCAGGACCGCAGGCACGCCAAGGGCGCCCCGCCGCTGCCGGAGCGCCCGGGACGACGCGCGGGAACGTCTCCCGCCCGGGCCGGCGGCTCTGCGCCCCGGCTCCGCGGAGCACGCCCCGCCGCGTGGCGCAGGTGCGCCCCCCCGGGCGGAACCTGAACGGTGTTGTCCGTCTTCGTTTTGGTTTCGCCTTCCTTCGTTCTGTCCCTCCCTCCGCCTTTGACTACCTACCAGACCACCCCAACCCAACCCGAAGACCCCAATGTCGGGTGGGGGGGGTACGGGTTCCATATGTGTTGTTTCGATGTTTCCCGACCCCCCCCCAACTGGAGATGGAGGGCAAATTGAGGCCTTCGGGTTGGGTTGGGGTGGTTTGGCGGGTGGTGACTTTAAAACGCAAAGCGAGATCGAAGCGAACACGGCCCACGAGGTCGCCAAAGCACCGTCGATAGGTCCGCCCATGGCGCCCCCCAGGGCTGAACCTAAACGGTGTTTCCCGTTTTCGTTCTGGTTTCGTCTTCCTTCGTTCTGTCCTCCCTCCGCCTTTGACTACCTACCAGACCACCCCAACCCAACCCGAAGACCCCAATGTCGGGTGGGGGGGGGCAAGGGTTCCAGATGTGTCTTTTCAATGTTTCCCGACCCCCCCCCCCAACTGGAAATGGAGGGCAGATTGAGGCCTTCGGGGTGGGTTGGGGTGGTTTGGCGGGTGGTGACTTCAAAACGCAAAGCGAGATCGCAGCGAGCACGGCCCACGAAGTCGCCAAAGCACCGTCTAGAGGTCCGCCCCTGCCCAGGGCTGAACCTAAACGGTGTTTTCCGTTTTCGTTTGGTTTTCGTCTTCCTTCGTTCTGTCCTTCCCTCTGCCCCTTCAAAACGCCAAGCGAGCTCGAAGCGAGCACGGCCCACGAAGTCGCCGAAACACCGTCTATAGGTCCGTTTTCGTTTGGTTTTCGTCTTCCTTCGTTCTGTCCTCCCTCCGCCCCTTCAAAACGCCAAGCGAGATCGAAAAGCGAGCACGGCCCACGAAGTCGCCAAAGCACCGTCGATAGGGCCTGCCCCTGGCGCCCCAGGGCTGAACCTAAACGGTGTTTCCCGTTTTCGTTTTGGTTTTCGTCTTCCTTCGTTCTGTCCTCCCAATCCGCCCCTTCGAAACGCCAAAGCGAGATCGAAAAGCGAGCACGGCCCACGAAAGTCGCAAAAGCACCGTCTATCTGACTACCTACCAGACCACCCCAACCCAACCCGAAGACCCGAATTTCGGGTTGGGGGGGGTATGGGCTCCATAGGTGTTTTTTCGATGTTCCTGGACCCCCCCCCCACTAGAAATCGAGGGTAAATCTGACCCTTCGGGTTGGGTTGGGGTGGTTTGGCGGGTGGTGACTATAGGTCCGCCCCTGGCGCCCCCCCTCGTGCTCTCGGCGCGCGGCCGCTGGGGCGCGGAGGGGCGGCGCGGCGGCGGGCGCGCCCGCGCCTCGGGGGCGCCCGAGGACGATGGGCCGTTGTCGAGTGCCGAGTTCCTCCTCCTCCTCCTCCTCCCTCCTCTCCTCCTCCTCCTGCTCCTCTCCTCCTCCTCCTCCTCCTCCTCCTGCCTCCTCCTCCTCCCTCCTCCTCCTCCTCCTCCTCCTCCTCCTCCTCCTCCCCCCTCGTCTCTCCTCTCTCCTCCCCCCCGCCCGGCACTGGCGCCCGAGGAGGGGCACCAGTGCCCAGCAGCAGGTCTTGCCCCAGGCCAACGGCGGCCGCTGCTGGGCAGGCGGCCTCCTGTCTCGAGTGGACACAGAGGCCGCGGCGGCACCGAACAGCGAGTCCTGCTCAGAGTGAACAGGAGCCTGTAAGAAACACACACACACACACTGTGGGAAAAAAAAACACACACTGTGGGAAAAAACACACACTGTGGGGAAAAAAAAACACACACAAAAAAAACACACACACACACACAATCTGTGGGGAGAAAAAAAAACACTGTGGGAAAAAACACACACTGTGTTTTTATTTTCTCATACTGTGCTTTTTCCCACAGACTGTTTGGGCCTCGTGCCCATTCTGTCCGTGCCCACTTCGGTCGTGCCGCGCGTCGAGCGGTCGGCCGGGCGAGCCGCACGCCCCCCCCTTGCAGAGAGCCGGCGGCCTCGGCAGGATCGGCGCGGGCGTGCAGAGTCAGCCCGCACGGGAAGGAGAGGCAGCCTTCCCAGGGGCACTCCAGATTTCGTAACAAAGGGAGGGGGGTCTCGTTTCGGGGGGGGCCTCTTCCAGGCTATCTTGGAGGGCCTGGGGGGGTCTGGGGACGATGTTTTGGAGGGTTCTCCCACGGGGGGGGGTCTAAAACTTCTCGTCTGGGAGGGTTGTGACTCCCTCCCTTTTATTACGAAATCTGGGGTACCTCTGCATCCTTGCCTCATCGGCCCGTCCTTCGCCGCTTTCGCTGGCCGCGCCCCGCTCGAAAAGCTTCGAAAGGGGGCGTCCGAGGCCCTTGCACCCTTATCGCGCATTCTTACTATACTGGTTGACTGCAGTCGTCTCGGTGCCATGTTGGGCTGGTCTGAAGGTGTCTACCACGCACGAGCGGCCCACGCGTCCCAGGAGCCATCTGCTCATAGGCCCTCCGGCCCCGAGCACGTCTCGACGCAGGGCTCGATGGCCGTGCCGGCAGCTCTGGCGAGGGGATGGGCAGCACAATGATCGAGAGGAAAAGAGGAGGACGGCAAGGAAGAGGAGGAGGAGGAGGAGGAGGAGCGAGGGGGTGGAGGAGGAGGAGCGAGGGGGAAGAGGAGGACGCCAGGGAAGAGGAGGAGCCGAGCGTGGTCGTTGCCCTCCGAGCGATCTCTCGGCCGCCCCGCTGGGCCTGGAGCGCGCCCTGCGGGGCCGCCAGAGCAGCGCCCCGTCGGCGAGCGCGCGGCCCCTCGCAAGAGGCGGCCGAGGGCCTGCGCGCGCGCCGGTCGAGCGCGCCTGTCGGGCCACGCGCCTGCGCCATTGTGCGCGCAGGAGCTGGCCGGAGGGGCGGCGGCGACGCACCGGGGGCCGGACGCACCAGGGCCCACGCGTCGAACAAACGGGAGCGGCCGGACGTCTG